AGCTTTTACTGTGTAGGGGAAGTAGGGGAAGGTGAGAGGAAATGAGTGAATCTTATTCTCATCAGATTTGGAGTAAGGAGGTAATAACATACACACTCAATGGGGTATGGAAATCTATCTTACCCTACAGCAAAATAGGGGGGAAGGGGATAAGAGAGGGGAGGAATGAAAGACGGGAGGGCAGATTGGGGGTGGGGTAATCAGAATCCAACACTTTTGAGGAGGGGAAAGGTCAAAGGAGAGAATAGAATGGAGGGTGGGATAGGATGAAGGGAAATATAGTTAATTTTTCTCAACATCACTATTATGGAAGTGTTTTGCATGACTACACATGGGAAAATAGAAGGGGAAGGGGATAAGAGAAGGGAGTGGTGATAGACGGGAGGGCAGATTTGGGGAAGGGGCATTCAGAATGCACTCTGTCTTGGGGTGGGGGAAGGGGTGAGATGGGGAGAAAGTTTGGAACTCAAAATCTTGTGGAAGTGACTGATGAAAACGAAAAATAAATATTTAAATAATAAAAAAGAATGCATGGCCTGAACTGGGGCAGCTAGGTAGCCCAGCGGATAGAGCACTGGGCTTGGAGAAAGAAAGACTCATCTTCCCAAGTTCAAATCCAGCCTCAGATACTTCCTAGCTATGTGACCCTATGAAAAGTCATGTACCCCTGTTTTCCTCAATTTCCTCATCTGTCAAATGAGCTGGAGAATGGTAAACTATTCCAGTATCTTTGCCAAGAAAATCCCAAATGGGGTCACAGAGTCAGACACAACTGAAATGAATGACCAGCAAAAATGGCATGAACTAACAATATACTAACAATATTTACTAATATTCTTTAAATTTGGGCCTCAAGTAAGAAGAAATAGCAACATATTTGGATTATTTTGTTATTATCATAAGTTTTTTAAAGTTATTGTTTAAAGTTAGAGATCCTGAATTTATAGCTAAAACAAATGAAAATAAGATCACAGCTTCCTGGTTTACATTACAAAACAAAATTTGCTACTTGAATAGCACAACCACATTTGCTATTTGGATAATTTCCTTACTTGCATGACAGCTTTCATCAGTTCTCGCCACGTTTTGTCCACTGTAGAAAATCTTCTGCCTTCCTCGGGCATTTGAGCCATAATGTCAGGAGAACTAAAAATTGGCTCCAAATATAGCCAAGTTGCCTGAACCTTTAGCCATTCATCCAGAATTTCCTGAAGCAGCAATAGTTTACCTTCCCATTCTCTGTGAATCATAAAGTAATAGCTCTTAATAACCTTCTCAAGAAAGAACAACAATTTTAACATATTTTTGTAAAATGACAAAATTTCAAAGGACTGAATTAACATTTCTTTATGTGGTGGTTCCTGATCCCCACTACTGTATATATGTTCAAAGACAATTTACTTACTTTGTTCCACAAAACCTTTTGAAAGTCACACATATGTATGCATATACAGATCTGTTATATGTATCTGTAAGAATAACTTCTCAATTTATATAGTACTCTATGGTTTTTCTTCCCTCATAAAAGCTCTGTGAGATAGGGAAGGCATTTATTTCCTAATTTTATTTTCCAGTTTAGGTTAAATGATTTGCCTGGGGTCACACAACATATAGGTTTCTAGATATCATTCATAACATAAAAACTCAAAGCTTCTAATTTTATAGCTAGTAATTATTGATAGAGAAGTACACACTAATTTTTCTGAGAAAATTATATCATTATTGAGGAGAGACAACCACATCTAGATTTCATATCCTTTAACATTTAGTTTGATGTCAATTAGACTAGAAAAGCTTACATTCTAAACTAACAGACCTCAATTCCTAAGAGGAAACTTGCATTTGAAGGAAATTTCACATGATCCTATCTATCTGGGCATAACAATAATAATAATAAATGGGCATATTTAAAACATAATAGAATTACTATTACATTTCTCATTTTAAGGTTATAATTCATCAAGGAATTTGTAATATCCTAAACTATAAGAAGCAGATCAATCTGTTAATATCAACTTAATTTATAGCTAGAATGTTTATATGTATTTTACAGTTACAATATTATTCTACATGAGTCATTCCATAATTCATATCCCATATGAATTATGATTAATGTATTTTAGAACCTTAAAACCAAGAGAATAGTTCTAAGACATTGATATATTTAAGTTACATTAATGCATTTAAAAAAATTCCCCCAAATATTTTCCATATTTAACAATGCATTTTAATGATGTACTCATCTTCTTCCCCTCCCCTGTTGTTTTGACAATGAAATAAGAGTTTGGACAGGAAACAATTGCTAGTGATTACCTAATCCAATCTCTGGGCAACTAGATGGCACAGTGGATAAAGCACCAGGCCTGGAGTCAGGACTCATCTTCCTGAGTTCAAATCTGGCCTTGGACACTTCCTAGCTATGTGACCCTGGGCAAATCACTTAACCCTGTTTGCCTCACTTTCCTCATCTGTAAAATGAACTGGAGAAGGAAATGGCAAACCACTCCAGTATCTTTGTCAAGAAAACCTCAAATGAGGTCACAAAGAGTCAGACACAACTGAAACAACTAAACAACAAAAATGGCTTGAACTAACAATATACCAAAACTTACTATGTAATTACACCCACTTCACATTGAGCAATGCAAGTTCCTTCTCGAGCAGAAAAGAACCAGTTGTGTAGATGGTGGTATTGCCAAGTACATAACTAAACTAACTGTACTCCTCATTTAGGAAGTGCTGTCTGGTATATGGATTACAAAACAATTCTCTCTCTTCATGTAAATATACATAGGAATGATGAGTTCTAACATTCCTGGGAAAATCAGACTGAGTGGGTTTTGTCTATTCTTTTGTTTTAGAACTATTAGTCATTCAATTCACAATATAAAAACATTAAAATAGTAAGAACATATTTGAAGTACTAAAGATGTGAGGGCTGTGTGACGATTGAGGCACACATTAATTTACCTTATTTCTTTTTCATAAGGCTTAATGAATGGAGATCCTCGCATAGTCTGTGTTTTAACAATATGGTCATCTAATAACATCTGAATTTCATCCACTGCTGACAAAATGTACATCCCGGTTTCTCTGTAAGGCAGGATGACAAATTCCATTGAATCCCATTCACCCATCATCTTCTCCATGGCCTTTTCAAGTGAATATTCTTTGCTAGCTGCTTCACTAATATTTTCAAATTTGTCCAAGTATGGTTCAAGATCCATTTCTAGAAATGAAGAGACAGTTGAGTCTTCTGATGGCTTTAGGACATAACCAACAATATCGGACATGGCTTCCCAATGTCGGCTCCGCAAACCAGGATTGCAAATCACCTGAATAAGGGGAATGTGCTCCTTGAATTCTTCAACTTTTGTTTTCACCCTTCTGGTTATTGCTAATGCATTGGGAGAATCATGGAAGACTTTTTCTAATTTATATAGTGCTCTCCAGTAGTTCCCTACATCTCCTTCTACTAGGTCAGGATTCACCTTGGTATATGGGCCTTCTGTCCAATTTCTAAATTTGTTGCTAAATTCTACAGCCATATCATAGAGACGAAGATAAGGGTTCAAAGTATCTTGGATTTTTTTACGCTGTGGATATACAGATGCCGGCCAACCAAATGCCTCTTCTTCTGCATTAAACTGCTCAATCTGAAAAGACAAACATGAAATATTTTCTAAAAATTAAACTCCACATGTACCAGTTCTTCTAACAGATAATATTTTCAAGATCAGCCTTTAAAACATACAACTTGAGCTCTTTTCTAACAATGTTAATACAAAAAAATTTACTAAATAAATTAAGCTAAATTTTTTTTAAATAGAAACTCTGCAGACTAGAACTAGCAGTAATAATAGGTGGGATCTAATTAATATGATGAAATTTAAGAAGGATAAATACAAAGTCTTATACCCGAATTTTAAAAATTAGCAAAAAGAATTAAAAATTTTAAAAATTAACAAGAAGAGATAGGGGATCTACACAGCAGTTCATCTAAAAACCATCTGGGGTTTTTAGACTCAATGTGAGTCAAAAACATATCATGATGTGGTATCCAGGAAATCTAATAAAATCTCATGTTACATTGAAAAACATAATTTCTAAGAATAAGAAAGAAATGGTGCTGTACTTTGTCTTAATTGGGCCAGATCTGTTCACACATGGATGCTCTATTTTAGGAAAGACTTGGGCATTTCTAGTGTAGAATAACCAGGATTGAGAAAGGCTGCTAGTTCATGTCATGAGGACCAGATGAAGGAAATGGGCTTGATTAGCCTATAGAAGAAAAGACTAAGTGAAGAGGGACATGATGCATGTCTTCAGGTATTTGAAAGAGTGCCAAAGGGGAGAGATTAGACTTGCTCTACTCACTCCCAGAGGGTACAGCAAGGAGCAAAGGGTAGAAATTATAAAGAAAAACTTTGTTAATTCTTAATATAGTAGAACTTCATAACAGTTGAGCTATTCCAAAGTGAAATGCGCCGCTACTGAAGGTGAGGCATTCCTCCCTCAATAGAAGTTTACATACAAAGGCTAGATGATCACTTTTCTGATGTGTAGTAGGGGGCATTTCTGTTCAGGTGTGGGTTGGACTAGGTGGACACGTAGGTCCCTTCCAATTCCTAAATTCCCTGAATTCATTTTCCTAACACTGAAACATTCATACCATAAAGTTGCTTTGCTTATGCCAATTCCATCCCTTGACAATTTACAAATTATACCTTTTCTGCTGCTGAATCCAACTTTGCATCTAGTGCTTGAGCTTTTTTGAGATATCGATTAATATCTTGAATATCTCCAAATCCGAAAAATTCTTCTACTTGCTTGGAATAACTGTCGAGTTCCTCAACAAATCGCTCACATCGTAACTAGTTTAAAAAAAAGGTTCTTTACTGTTTGAATGAAACAGAAACCTATGTATCTATGAAAATTAATATCTTAGAAACTATAACAAAACTCTTTCCTTTCAAAAGCCCTGGCAAAATCCTAAGAAAGATAAAATGGAAGTGAATTGGATCGTAAAACAAAACTTTAGAAATCAGGGTCAAAAATTAGTCCAGTTAAAAAGCAGTTAAGTTTATACTCCACTAATTCAGAATGTATTATTCCATGGAGGGTTAGATTAAGGTTTATATACATATTAACTGTAAAAAAGAGCTATTAAGAAAAATTTATATGTAGCCATAGAAATGTTTACCCTCCTGAAGGCAAGCCATCTTTTCAGGGTATTATAAAACCACATTGTGTTTATATTGACTAAATAATAAAAAAAAAAGTTAATCCATTTGCTAAAGTTCTTAAAGATTCCCTTCTATCCTGTCCTTCCAGTTTACTGAATCAATTTGAATTTACAAAATTGTATTTCTTTATACACATACATTCTATGATTCATACTTCTCACTGTCATAATATGTCTTTCAATTAGGAAAAATTCACAAGATTTTAGTGTTAAACAAAACAAAAATTCTATTTTTGTTGTGATTCTTGCCTCTCTTAAACTTATTTACTGAAGAAATGCAAAAGTTGAAGACAATGTCAATATTCTGGCTACATATCCTGCTTTGAAAATTTAAGTATCAACATCCAAGAAAAAAATTTGAAAGAAAAAAGTGAGATAAACTTACAAGTCTTCATTGGAAAGGTACTCTGAATTAAAAGTCAGGAAAAATTAAGTTGAAATAAAATATTTTACAATTAAATCTCATGATTAAGGGAGGATTCTATTTTCTTAGGTTCTGGTAAATCATTTTTTGCTATTCTCACCTTTTCATTTTTTATAACTTTGTATGCTTTGCTGCTTACTAGCATTGACACATAAGTAGAAAAGATCAAAAAGGAAAGAGGAAAAAACCCCCTAAAATTCCATAATTTCAGAAATTGATTCTGGAATATCACACATAACACCATGTAGATCTTTCTGTACTGGTTAATAATTAGAGCTCAACAAGTCTACGATTCAAAGAAATCTTACATAAGTAACATGTAATTTACTCTTCTGCCGTTCACTAATTAGGGGCAAAGCAATTTTAAGTGACTTATGAATGATTTGTGCATTATGAAATTTTAAATAGATACTAGTTGAAAATGGAAATGTTAATCAATATTATGAATTACTTTCTTATTAATATGGTTTATCAATTTATAATGTTTTGAGGGATAATCTATTCTAAGGTTTTCTCCCAAATGAACTGAAGAATCAATAGTTCACTATGTTTCATACATTTCTTTTCTATTCACTTACTAAATAAAGTATTCTACCTATGATGTGTTATATGTGAAATGGAAACTTGATACCAAAGGAGTAAAAACATGGTACTTGCCCTTTAAGAGCTTATAGTTTATGCAGAAGTTTGCATTATAAACATTTCTCTTAATAATAAAATATTTTTGTTAATTTACAAGGCAAACCTTAAGTCCATCTTGGTATTGTTCTGTTTTCTCTTTAATTATTTTTCTGTGTTCTTCAAAAATCTCCCCCATTCTCCCATACCATTGAAAAACATTATTATTTAGTCGAATATCAGCTGGAGAGAAGTTGGCACACTCTATCAGAAAAGCAAGGCAATTTTTGGCATCTACCAATTTTTGTCCCAATTCAATCATTTCTGTTGTCTCCACTTTCCGTATGGAAGCCTTAAGAGGAAAAAGTACAAGTTGTATTTTAATGGATAACTATTTTCATTGCATAATGAAAAATTGTTCACAAAGGTTATCTCTTGAAACAAAAAATAAAAAGGAGGAAAAAAAGAGTTCTGCAAAACTAATCAACATATCAACAGACAATGTGATGTTCCATACCTTGAGAGCTCACTCTACAAACAACAAAGAGATTTCCATTTTTTTAACTTGTTCTCTGGGGCCAAATTTGGTCATTATAATTACACAAGAGATATTACATTTTTTAAAAAATTCTCTTATTTTATTGACCCTCTTGCTTTTATATCATAAGTCAGTCAATCAATAAGCATTCATTAAGCACTTATTAGCTAGTTACTGGACTAGATGCTTAGGATACAAAGACACAAATTAAAGATTTACTGCCCTTAGGGATTTTACATTTTTTCCAAATAAATTCCCTTTCTTAAATAGCAAGCTATGCCTCGTAACAATGATTTAAAAAGAAGCATTTTAACAAAACTAACCAACACACTGACCATACCTGCTAGTATATGTAATATTCCATAGCCATAGTCCCTTACCTCTACAATAAAAGAAGGGAGATAGCAAAGATAGCTAGCATTTAGGTAGTGCTTTAAGATTTATACAGTGCTGTACATATGTAATCTCATTTGATCATCATAACAACCCCAGTGAGGTAGGTGCTATTATTATCTCCATTTTAGAGAAAAGGAAACTTAGACAAAAAGAAGTTCAGTCACTTGCCTGTGATCACACAGCTATTAAATATATGAGGCAAGATTTGAATCCAAGCTATTCTGACTGCAAATCTAGTGCTCTCTGCACTGGGCCACCTAGTTATCTGATAATTTAAAAGACATCTGTCTGAAAGTATTATGTTGATGTATTAATTCTCATTCTATTTAGTAAGGCTAAAAAGTGCATATATCAAAATCTAAGTAAGTGGATAAAATATAGCCCTAAAACTGATTTACAAAAAACTTCCATCACTTCAGGACCTAACCTTTCGCTTAACACTATAACGTATTGAAAATTTTTTAAAAAAATCAGCTAAATAACCAGTAGAGTCAGCAAGTTTGTTAATAATTTCTCTTCCATTAAAGTCAATGATTTTTCACCAAATTAAAAAAAACTGATGAGTTGTTTTGGGAATGTATGAACATAATGTATTAGACCTAGAAAAAATTTCAAAAACTCTGCATATGATATGTTTCCCAGTTCTTATAAAGGTTGCTATGTCCAACAGAATCCCATGTAAAAGAACTGAAAGCTACTAACTCAGCTGTTATTGAAAGTATTTCCAGTATTACAATACTTTTCTGGGGATTTAGGTCACTTATGTGGCAACTTTCCAATATATATAATCCATTTTCCCAAAGGAAGATAGATTCAAAGTCGTGGTTTTAAGTTACCTCACTCTGGAGCCACATATGTAAGTCACTCCCAAACCACAAGATGGAAATAGAAGGAAATATTAGAAGGAAATAGTACAATAATCGTACAAACTCTCTCCCAAAACTACCCTTCTAGAAAATGCAACAGATTGAGTCCTGCTCAGGAATTCCAAGAAGATGCCTGAGTCATTTTTCTGACCCTGGTGAGCACAGAGAAACTTTCAGTGGGTGACAAAGCCTTTCAGTAAGGTACCGAATGAGGTCTCAGACTCACGAGGTGGGGCTTAACGCTGCTCAGAGGGCAGGAAGAGTGCCAACTGGCAGCTCTGTTACTCATTGTGTAGCGCTGGGTCACAGATCAAAGGCAGACTGAGCAGAGGAACCTGAATCTAGAGGGGCCAGTCCACTGTAGTCCCAGTCCATAGATGTATCCTGACCAAGGAACAGGTACAGAAGCGAGTAGTAACTCCACTCCTGGGAGTGGACTGGTGTCTCAGATCTACTCTCAGACCCACAGAACGGTCTGAAGCCCAAAGAAAAAGAATAAGGCAAAAGACCCAAATCAAAGATGAACCTCTAGTTTCATCATTCTGAACCTGCAGAATTTTCCAGCTTGCTAATGAGTTCAGCAGCAGTCTACTAGATCTCCAACCAAAGTAAAGTCCACAGTCCTGCTGCTCAGACTCAAACCGAGGTTAGGAATCAACAGAGCTCAGACCAGGGAGGGCCGTGCTCATATTTCATTCTAGATCACAGAACTATGGATGCTCTGAAAGATTGCAGATCACCAAATTGAGCTGTCCTTGAGATCCTAGAATAACACAACACTCAATTCATGGAAGAAATAGCTGCAGAAACCAAGAGGACAGAAAATAAGATTAAGCACAGCCAAGCTATTCTCTCCAGAAATGCAGACAGCCTGTCCTTAACATACAATCAGAGGTCAGGGAGTAAGTCTGGAAGAATGAGCAAACAAAAAAAGATGCTCAAGAAACAAACCCAGAAGATAAGGACTATAAAATATTACAAGCAAAGCCTCAAAGAAACAAGTTCACCTAGAAATCTTGGAAAGAATGAAGCAAGAATTTTTTTTAAAAAGACCTAAAATTATTTTATAAATGAAATGAAAGTTCTAGAAGATGATAAAAACCTGGAAAATAAATGAAAGCCCTAGGGGAAAATTTAAAAAAGAAATGAGAATTATGGAAGACAAAATTGGAAACAGAATAAGCAGCTTGACATAAGAGTTGTGTACAAATTCTGACCTGGGCAAAAGATTCCCTTCCATTTTAGAACACAACAAATAAAGGTTAATGACTCCATGAAGCCATGAAAATATTGTTTGTTTTGTTTTTGGCTAGGCAAGGGGGTTAAATGACTTGCCCAGGGTCACACAGCTAGTAAGTGTCAAGTGTCTGAGGCCGGATTTGAACTCAGGTCCTCCTGACTGCAGGGCCAGTGTTCTATCCACTGCACCACCTAACTGCCCCACCATGAAAATATTAAAATAATCAAAAATAGAAAAAAATAGAAAGAGTCAAAAGACTGAATAGAAAAAGGTAAGGTATGTCATATAAAAACTGATGTGGAAAACAGAATAGAAAGAAATAATTTAAAAATCATTGTACCACTTGAAATCCATAACAAAAAAAGGCCAGACATCCTATTTCAAGGAATATTTTTTTTAAAAAAAACTACCCAGATCTCACGGAACCAGATGGCAAAGTGAAAATAGAAAGAATCCACCAATCACCTCCTGAAACCTCAAAAACTCCCAGGAACATTATAATCAAAATTCAGAACTTCCATACCAAAGAAAAATACAAAAGTAATCAGAAAGAAAGAATTCAAGTACTGAAAAGCCAAAGGATCACACAAGATTTCATTTAACAGCCGCTACTATAAAGAATAGGAAAACTTGGAATATGGCATTCCAGAAGGCAAAAGATATGTATGTACACCTAGAATACCCAGCAAAACTGAGTGTAATCCTATACAGAAAAAATAGATATTTATTGAATTAGAGAACTTCCAAATATTCTTGATAAAAAGACCAGAGCTATATACAAACATAGCAGTGAAAAGAAACACAAAATGTCAGATATGATCAAGCAATCATAAGAAACTAAACAAAGATGAGCTGTTTTCATTCTACTATGAGGAGATAATCCCCAGAACTTTAACATCATTAGGTGTCACAAATGTAACCTAATAAGATAGAGTCTGGCAGGTTTTTGTGGGTTTTTTTTTAAAATGTTTTGATGACCTTAAAGGAGGAACATGTTGTTTACTATGGATGCCTTGACAGTTTTTTGCCTTTTTATCCTCGGTACAATGCCTAGCATACAGAAGGTACTTAATAAATTATTTTAAACTTAAGATTTAAATCCTTACTTTCTATTTTTCTTTACTATTTGTATTTGTTCAAAGTTAAGTTTATAATGAAATAATTTTTAAAAAGAAAGATGCAAGGTAGGTATAAGCTGATTCTAATGTATTATCAAAGATAACTTATATGCAATACATTGTATAAACAGTATTACTGAAGGTAGGTAGGGATGGGGATAGGGAACTCCCAGGTGAGGAAGGTACAGGTTGGTATGTTCTATGCAACTTATAGTCTTAGAGAATGCCTGTGAGGCACTGAGAAGGTAAGTCACTTGTCCAGCTTCACACAGCCAGGGTGTGTCAGGTGGCACCTGAACTCTGGTCTCCAGGTTTTCAGGCTGACTCTATCCACAATGACACTTGAAAATGAAGTGACCTTGTCATGACATGAAAATGAAAGACTAACTCAGTTAAGGACTAAGAGAACAAGATAAAGGAGTCCAGCATATTGCACAGCTCTTCTATGGAAGATTGTAGGAAAATATAGACAACAATCATATGGTATTCAAAGTTATAACGCAGGTGTAAATGGCATTAATAGAAGAAGTGCTCACAATGACAAAAGTTATGTAAGTTACAAAATTTTAGACATGCAAGAACAACCATTGTATATAAGCCAAAATGCAGCATTACTCAAAGATTTGAATCTTTGCTTTAAAATAATCTTTTCAATTATTTAAATACAAAAATGTTCAGAATGTATACCTTTAATTCCATTAGTTCTGCTGTATTTGGAGGTGTACTTAGAGCCTTTTCTGCTATCATCTCAAATTCCTCACATAATCTGAAATGTAAGAAACAATCAATCTCACATATATCAATCTATTAAAACATATTTGAAAATAAAATATCACTGTAACGATTAATAGGTTAATATGTCCAATTCAAACATTAAGCCTTAAAAATAATTATCTGTCATTACAACGTCATATCTTCTGAACAAGTGGTAGGTATCACAGGAAAGATGCTGAATTAGATTAAATGTCAATCAGGTGACAATCATACAAGAGTCATCTGGATAAAACTGATATAAACCCACAGATCAATCAAATATCCTAGAAGATAAAAAAAATAGGTTTGTATTTTTCAACATGGTGCCTAGAAAATGGTACTTAGCTTCAAATAGGCTTTCACCACTGCACACTAATCCTGCCCCTCCACCTTTATCAACTCTAACTTAATTAAAATAGCAACTGTTTTGATTAATTTATTATTTTAATTTCATTGAACAGCAATTGTTTTAATGCCTTGCTTCTCTCTTCTCTTCTAAAGTCTCTGACCCCTCCACTGCACATGCTAATAGCAAATATCCTATCCTCTTGTTCACCTACTTATCTAACTACGGTTCCTTAGCTCTGCTTCTTCCAGTTTGCTGAACTTCTCAACAACATCAACCATCTGGTAACAACAGAGAAGGTAAACTTATTTCTCCTGAGACTAATCTCTCTGAGGAGTTCATAAGCTTTTTTGTGTCATGGACCCCTTTGGCAGTCTGATGAGGCCTATGGACCCCCTTTCAGACTAATGTTTTCAAAATCATAAAATAAGATACAAAGGATTACAAAAGAATCCAGTTACATTGCAAAAATATTTTTAAGCTCAATATTCCCAGGCCAAGGTCTCTGCTCTAGCTATTCAGTACTCTTGATCTCAGTCCTTGCTTCCTCCTACAGAACCTGACTTGCACAATCATCCTCAGTTTAATGAATCTTTGTCTTGAAACTTGGCATCTTCCCTCTGCCAACTGTTGAATGCAACTGCTGACTTTGCCTGATCCGAGAGCTAAAAAATTGGCTGAGGGCAATCGAAACCAGTTAAGAGAGGACTATGGAAGCCAGTTTAAAAAAAAAATGTTGAACAGACATCAGAAGGGCCTATCTGACTTTGATACAACTTACCCCATGACTGGAGCAGGTCCTCTATGGACTTTCAGTTGTTATGCAAAATAACTTACTGTAACAGCTTCTGAAGGCTATGCCTCCCATGTGATTCCTTACTTGTTGAAATGTATTTAACCCTGCTCCCCTCTGCCCCTCTTGGGCACTCCAGTACTTTGGCGCTGTGTGGTGGCCCCAAACTGCAATTCCCTTGCTTCCATTAAAGATTCTAGTTTTTGCTACTATGGTAGATTTCTTTATTTCAGGTTGACACTACAAATAACCTTAGTTCTCCTTAACTCTAAAAAGTAGGTGGTCCAGTGGACAGAGAGAGTACTGGGCCTGGAGGCAGGATGATCCATTTTCATGAGTTTGAATCTAGCCTTGGACATTTACTAGATATGCAACCCTGGGCAAATCACTTAACCCTGTTTCTCTCAGTTTCCTCATCTGTAAAATCAGCTAGAGAAGGAAATGGAAAACCACTCTAGTACCTTTGCCAAGAAAACCTCAAATGGGGTCACCAAGAGTCAGATACGACTAAAACAACCGAACAATTTCCTTGACCTTCTATACCAACAATCTACTGTCTTATCTGAACCTTCACTTCCTAAACTTCTTGGCAAAGTTGTTGATGCTCAATAATTCTCCTTCCTGACTAGTATCACCCTAGATCTCAGTCCCTTAGAATATGCCCTCTACAACCACTAGTCTACTGAAACTGGTTTCTCAAAGGTCATCAAAGCATTCCTAATCACCAAATACAATGGCTATTTTTAGTTCTTTTCTCTGATCTATGCAGACTTTACCATTTTGGACTAACAACTCCTGCTGGCTCGTTTTCTTTGACTTCAGAGATACTACTCTGTCCTGGTTCTCTTCTCTCTTCTTTAATTCCCCCCTAAGTTTCCTTCACTCATTCTCCATCCCCTTTCAAACCACTTAAATTAGATTTTTTATGAGTTTGTCCTTGGCTATCTCCTTTTCTCTTTCAATACTCCAGTGCAATTTAATTTTTTGCCAGAGCTTCAGAACTTCTACATAGATAACCCTTCAGTTTCATATGTAATCCATGACTCTTTTGAGCTCCATAACTTCATCTCTTTCCTGAACTCTAGTTCTACATCACTGATTTGCTAAACATCTCTTCCTGAATGTCCCATAACCATCTCAAACTGAACATGACCAAAACAAAAACAAAGAATACCTCATCTTTCCTCCATACCTATCTCTCTTCCTAATTTCACTATTTCTGTTGACAATATTCTCTCTCTTCTCTCTTCTTCTCTCTCCTTCTCATTTGGTCACCATCCTTATCACTTCTTGCCATTGAAAAATCTTCCTAATTAGTCTCTTTCTCTAGTCTCTCCCTTTCCCAATCCATTCTCCATACAGCTGCCAGAGATTGTGTGTGTGTGTGTGTGTGTGTATTCCTAAGGCACAGATCTGACCACATCAACTCCTCTGTTCAAAAATTTTCTATTATCTCTGTGATAAAATACAAATCTCTATGTTTGGCATTTAAAGCCCTTCATAGCCATGCTCCATTTTCTCTCCGGATTGATCTGACATCCTCCTGTGACCACCAATCAGTCTCCCCACATTCTATATTTTGGCCAAATTGACCTAACCTGATGTTCCCCATACATAATATTATACTTTCTGCTTCCTCTCTTTTGACCAACTGTTCTCCTTTGCCTGGAACGTTTTCACTCCTCAACTTTCTACCTCTTAGATTTCTAAACTCCTCAAAGTTCAGTTCAAATGCCACCTCCTACATGAAGTCTTTCCTGATTCTCCCAATTTTTTCCAGTTGTTAGCCCCATCCCATCCCAGCAATTATTTTTCATTTTTTTGTTTGCTTATCTATATACAGTCCCAATTCTGCCCCTCTCCCAGTAGAATATGTGAAAATGCACTGGACACAAGATTTATTTCATTTGTGTATCTCTACATAGTAGAGTGTCTGGCACATGGTAGGCATTTAATAAATGCTTGCTGAATTAAAATGCTATAGAATCTCTGACCGCTCACAGTTTATATCTATCCAGGATGTTCCACTAGTACCTGAAATTCAATATGTCCAAAACTGAGCTTACTATCTTTGCTCCTAAACTTGACTTCACTACTTCTGCCTGTGATACCATCATTCATCTTTCTCCCATTTTCATAACCTTTGGTTTATCTTCAACTTTTCTTTCTATGAATGTCCCTATGCCTGATTGAACACATACCCATCCTTTAAAGACTTTCTTGATTCTGCTTGTCAATAATGACCTTCCTCCTTAGAACTCTTATGACACTTGGTTTTACAACTCTTTAGTACATTTTAATGTACATTAATATTAATGTAAGCAACTAGGTGACTCAGTGGATTAGAGTGCTAGTCTTAGAATCAGAAAGACCTCAGTTCAAATTAGACCTTGGGCATTTATTAGCTCCGTGACTCTGGCCAAGTTACTGGTCCTCTCTCAGCCTCAGTTTCCACATCTCTTTTTTTGTTGGTTTTTTTTTTTGCTAGGCAACGGGGTTAAGTGACTTGCCCAGGGTCACACAGCTAGTAAGTGTCAAGTGTCTGAGGCCAGATTTGAACTCAGGTCTTCCTGACTCCAGGGCTGGTGCTCTATCCACTGTGCCACCTAGCTGCCCCCTCAGTTTCCACATCTTAAAAATGGGGACAATAATAGCACCCACCTCCCAGGATTGTTGTGACAATCAAATGAGAGAATATCTATAAAGTGCTTTGGAAACCTTAAATGAAGCACTATATAAAAGCTAGCTATAATTATAATTATTATTTATTAGGTAATATTATAAAATATAGTGATCCATTCTTGTCTTATCCCCCTAATAGACTATAAGGTCCATCAGGACAGTAACTGTGCCTTTTATAAAATTTCTATTATACCTAGTGCCTAGTACAGTGATCAGCACAAAACAGGCACCTATAACAAATGAATTAAAATGGATAGCAAGAAAAATAATTTTTTATTCTAGAAAAGAGGATACTTTATACTATGATCGATAACAAATGCTGGAAAACATACCCTTCATTATGAAAAAAGATTGAGCTCTTCAGAAGGTTTCTTCATGACCTAAAATAAATATTCCTAAAGGCATCTAATTCATTTTTCTCTGATGGTATGATTATTAGAACAATTTTTCAATTGCTAAGCTTCCTCCAGTACATCAATTCCTAGAGGAAGATACCACACCATCCTGGTTATCATGTCAATTATAATTCTTGCTTTTGACCTACAGAAGAGTATTCTGTTTCACTCATTAGTTTCTGAGTTATTAACAGTCAGTTAATTTTCTGAGGATCTTATGACCTCTGAGTAAATTGACAATTGGGTTTTCAGCTATGAAATGATAAGTGACCAGAAGATGAATGATGAGTGACCTAAAGAATCAATTACTAAAAGTTGAGAGCCGCACCACACCAGATTTGAGACTCCTTTAAAATTCATACTAACTATGTGCATATAATATATTCTTAGTGTTTTCTGCACAAATTCTGAAATCTATACAAGATTTTCCCAGAACCCAAAACCTCTGGGCCAAATCTTCCCACTGTTAATTGATTCACGTTGAAAAAATATAAACTAATATTAATGCTATCTTTAGCCAAACATAAAATGCCTCACAAAATGAGAACAACTTGATTATTTTCTCTTTGAGACTATCCATGCCACTGCCCCACTTTATTACTACAAAAAAGAACCGAGGTGACTAATGAATGTCTAATTAAAACAGAAAAAAATAACAATTTGTAAGTAAATAATGCCATTCACTTACTTCATATTTAATTCTTGATGGTCCTTGAACACTTTAGCTATAAGTCTTCCAGCAATAAGGTCTGCTCGCTTTGCCAAAGCCCTGATTAATTCTTCACAATGCAGTTCAAATATTCCTAAGCGAAGGACCTGGAACATCAGTTTGAAAATTTCAGTCACTAAGAAACATAGTTAAATTTTTTATCAGTATTTCTCAGTGTTATCTCATAATACCAATTTACTCTGATTTATCAGATTTTCTTTAAATATTTGACTTAGAAAAGCTATTTGGAGGGTATCCCTTTGTGTTTTACCAATTGTTTCCTTTTAAATCCTGTCAAAGAACTTAAGAAACTTAGGTACATTGCTTTATACAAAGTAATTTTATACAAAATGAAACAATTCATTAAATACTTTGAAGAACATAGTTACTGATACAGAAAATTTGCAAAATTAATGTAGAAAGAAATGAATTCTCTTGGTCACTTGGTTGGGGGAGAGGAGATGGTAAATGATGCATATCCTTTTGCCAGCAGAGGAACAATTATTTGTACTACAGTATTTCCTGCCAAAGGAACCTTAGAAATTAGAACCATAGTGAAATTCTCACCACTACTTTATGTACACTCTTAAGTTCTAATATGAAAAATAGAAGAAAAAAAGTCCATTCAAAGTCAAAAGTAAAAAGATCTATCTTTAAAACTTGCATTATTTACCTTTCTGGATGTATACTGTATCTCTTCACTTAGCTTTTGGAATTTCTGAATTTCTTGTATTGTTTCCTCATAATTATGTTCTCCCTCAAGGTATTTATCAATATCATATTCAGCTTGTTTGTTAATCAAGAAATCATACTTATCATAATATTTCAGATGCTCAATGGGTGCAACACTTTCAGCGAGAATCACATCCTTAATCTTTTTTTGGTGTTCATTTAATATTTCCTCCAGAATTATGGGCCTCAAGGTAGTTGACTGGGATTTACTTTCCTGGTTTGTGGGGAACACAAACATTAGTTATAAATTATCATTTATCACTTATGGCAATTTATTCCAAAACATTTATTTTGTTGGAAGCAGCATAATGCAGCTAAAAGGACGCAAGATATGAAGTTCAAAGACTTGCATTCAATTTCTGGTGCTACTACTTTTCTATATGACTTTGATAGAGCCATTCAATTTATCTGGGCTTCAATTTCCTCATCTTGAAAATGGGAAAATTAGACTAGATAATTTCTAAGGTCCCTTCTGGTTCTATGTCTAAGATTTTAATGCTGGATGATCCTAAATGCTTAGCATATTAAAGGCAATGAACTATGGTCTTAAAGAGATATAAAGAAAAAATGAGATATGTTCCCAACCCTCATAAAGCTTTCAAGCCATATAGGTTTTCAGGAGTTAGAACTGGAAGGTGGATTTAGACATGATTCAGTCTGATCCTCTCATTTTATATTTCTTTCTCCTGTTATTATAATCGAGCCCCATTTTCAAGTTATTAAATTTTTTTAAAAATTTGCTCGCGTGGATGTTTTATAATTGACTCATAACAATTCTAGTGAAAACTTGGACTCAGTCAAAAATGGCCAAAGCTATGATGATACCCTGAGATCCTGGAGAGAAAAAGAAGTAGGCCCATCAAATAATAATGCCATCAAATCCACCTACTCTGAGAAGTGACTGGACATATTTTGCTTTTGAAAATTGGAAAGGCTTCCTGGAGGAGGAAAGATTTGAGTTGAATCTTGTAACATAGGCAGAATTTGGATAAATGGAACAGAGGTAAAACATAGTGTGTATGGGTGTGTGTGTTGGGAAGGAACCTCAAGCATGGAGGAAGTAAAATGAAAGACATATTTTGATAACACTGATAGATTATGTAGCAGAATAGTAAAAGATAGTAGAAAGGTAGTTTGAGGCTAGTCATGGAGGGATGTTGAAGGGCAAGGCCTAAGAATTTCAGTTTTTGTTTTGAAGATAGTGACAGGCCATGGAAAAAATCTGTCACTTTTGATTAGTATTCTGACATCATGACATTAACAAATAAAGAAATCGTTTTCCTGCAACAGATTCTATAGATTTTTTAAAATCAGCTTTCTTATGAATGTACATTTAGACTACATGAAAACTGACCAAGGTATATGACTATGTACCAAAATGGATGTGTAGTTGGCTCTACATGTAGACTGTCCAGGCATCAGTAGCTCTCCCTTTGTGGCTCATTATATTGAACTGCCATTATTCTGTTTGTTAATAACAATTTTCTCAAATCTTCCCTCCTCCAGGAAGCCTTTCCAATCTAGGCCACAGTAAGCCCTCTTTTCTATATATATACTCATAGCACTTACTGTCTTCATCATTTAGTTGGTGCTTATCATTGACCCTTGGCACACTGTTATCATTTCACATATGTGTGTCTTCATACCTTTAATATAACCTGTTTGAACTTAATGAAAGGGGTCTTTTTAGCCCCCAGCTAGCATATCCTCATACAAAGAACATGATCAATAAATATGTTGGCTGATTGCTTCCCAAACTTTTATCACACTTGCTGTCTTTTGAGATTTTCAAATTGTACTTGTCTTTATTTTGCTGAAATAACTGAAATAATAGATTTGACCATTATTTATTATATTTATTATAGCTGGACTGAAATAACAAAGGTATAAAAGTCTATTTTTAGTGATAAGTAAGGGAAACAATATGCATTCTAGTTTTGTGTTTAATACATTTAAATAATGTTTTTCAATCTTCTTTTATGTCTCCAACAAGTTACAGCTCATCCTTTGCTCTAAAAGACAAGATAAACTGGCAGTTATTTCAAAATTTAGTGAGTTCTGGTCCTTGGTCATAATGGTTTTGAATCAATATGTTCTATTCAGAGACCTATAAATAAAATAGGACATAGACAACTTGGACAGAGTTCAAAGGAGAACAACAAATATGCTTAAGAGTTTAGGAAATAATGATCATGAGCAAAGGCTTCAGGGAAAAGTCCAAGAGAAAACATAATGACTACCTTCCAAAAGACTAGGCTTAAACTATAATTGGAGTCAAATTTATTAAAAGGAATTCTACTGTATCATGTGGGTTGTAAGCTTATAATTTTTAAGCATGCTACAGTCCCAAGATAGAGAATGTATGGCTTAAGTGTGTTTTACTATGTCTCTTCCTTTCTAATTGGCTGTAGGTACGTAATCATTTAGCACTTTGTTATAGATGATCTTACTTTCTAATTGCTTTAAGTATATAGGTCTTGTTTTTTTTTTTCCTGAGTCTTACATTGTCTTTGCATCACTCATGGCAACCAACAATATTAGGCACATACTTTACTCAATAAATATTTTCACTTGATTGAATAGTATTGTTGTAGGGATAAAAGAAACTATATTTTCACAAGTAGTATAAAACCAGACTTATTTCATAGTAATAGACTTTCTTCCCTAAGATTTCTATAACCAGGCCAGAAAATTAACTTTTTAAAAAAGGTAACCTACATCACAGATAAATCCATGACTTCAGAATACTATTCTTATACATAGTTTGAATATTAAATATTCTTTATGCAAATCAAGAAGATTACTATGTATAATGACCTATGGCAGGCCCTGGGAATAAAAAGACAAAATTAAAACAATCCTCACCTTCAGGGAGTTAACAGTCTACTGGTGGGGAAGACAACATTTGAGGAATATAAGTAATATAAGATGATTTGAGACATAAGAGAGCACTACAAACTAAGGCAATGAGGAAAACTAAGCTTTCTCATTGGCTATGGCATCTCAATTGAACCTTAGGGGAAATTAAAGATTTAAAGAGTCAGAAGAAAGAAGTAAACCTATTATAGGCATGTAGACAGCCTGTTCAAAGGCTCAGAAATTAAAGATAGAATGTCATGTTTAAGGAACAACAAGGAGGTCAGTTTGACTATGAAATACACATACATATACAGCCCAGAGAAGTGGGCTGGAGCCAGACTAATGGGCTCTAAATGATAAGCTCTCTACTGTACATTACTAATGAGAATCATTAGAGTATTTGTTAGTTGAAAACTTTATGTATTAAATATTGAGAAATATATTTTTGCTTAATTTTTTTTACTTAAAAACATTAAATTTTAAATTTTTTCTTTAAAATGAGTAATTTGTATCATCTTACTACTTCTACTTCCACTATTTATTGGTAATTTTTAAACCACTATTTGCCTATATTCTAGTCTCATCCTCCAACCCAAAACTCAATCGTTTACCATGGGACCCTGGGTTTCTGACTGGTGAACATTTAACACGCCTTGCCTAGACCTACCATGATGCTTCCCACTTAACTTTATGTTTCCACTCTTCTGTACTCTAGCCTTCACTTCCAAGCCATTACTCAAGCTTCGACTCTGCAAGCCTGGGCTTCTGATTGGTATAACATATATACCAATACTATAAGTGAAGTTAATGAGAAAATAAGATGCTTTACAAAAATTAACTTTAAGCAAACGCTTCTAGAACACATGTATTCCATAAAGCATAAGATACCTGTCATATTTCTATAATAAAGGTATCATGTTATCTAACTAAATTGTATGGCATTAAACTGATTTTAAAAATCAAAATATATGAATTACTTACCCATTTGGCATACAATTTAGTCTCAACCCTTGGTACAGTACTGACAGCCTTAATCATGACCTCATAAATATTTAGAAAAATTGCTTGATAATCATTAAATTCAGGTTCAAACAGAACATTTTCACCTTCGAGGATCAGCCTTGTTATAAAACCTGGATGCTCATAAGCTCGCACAGAATCCTTTAAAAAACGTTTAAAATATGTTCATTTTAGTGGCAAATCATAAAGAAGTCAAATCACTAAGATCAGAAGGTACAAATTTGAATCCTTAAGCACTTGTCATAAATATATCCTATGAAAGGACATCATTTAAATAAATAACATGTTTAAAAATGTTTTATAAGTATAATTATTATAAAACTGACATTCTGATGTTAGGTTCTTTAAATTTTGTTAAAATAGATCATAAAATAAATCTCTTTATTTTACTTTACTAACCATTATAGGAGTCTAAGAAGAATGAAAAGTATCTTAAACTACCTCCATAAGTTCACTTGTGTTCATCATGTCCTACTTCCAGTAGAATGGCCAACTACTCACATTATCAGAAAGCTGGGGTAGAAATAAGTATAACTTAAAAAATTTTTTTCCCATAAAATCAGCATTTTATTTTTTTTATTTTATTAATTTTTTTTTTAGGCAATTGGGGTTAAGTGACTTGTCCAGGGTCACAGAGCTAGTAAGTGTCAAGTGTTTGGTCTGAGGCCAGAATTAAACTCAGGTCCTCCTGACTTCAGGGCCAGTGCTCTATCCACTGTGCCACCTAGCTGCCCCCTAAAATCAGCATTTTAAAGGAAAAGAAGCTCATTCTTAAATCCCAATGCTCGGTATCAAGTGGCTACTTGCACACTGTTTCTCTAACTAGAAAGATATGAAAATTTTGTTCTCTCCTAGAAGATATAACCAAGGATGAATAATTTTCAAGGATATTGTGGGAAGCCATTCAAAAGTTCCCAGATGCACAAGAATACTAGGAATGATTTAGGAAAGGGAAGAAGGTGAAGAAGTTTATGACAATAGAAAAAAGGTAGGGGTAGGGATTGAAAAAAAGTGAAGAATAAAAGAAAAACTGGGAGTAAGATCTGTGTCTTGCACAGATCTGTGTTTTACAGGACAAGCTTAAATGTTCTGGGTGCTACCCCTTTGCCTGTGTGAGAGAATGAAGCTCCATTCCTCATTAACAGTTTGTCAGTAAGGAATGTTCCAAGGAAAGTTGAAATAGTCATTATGGAAAAGTTTTGCATATGTCCAGCTAGTTTGGGGTTGAGCCTTAAGTTTTCCCACAATAAGAAGTGAGCCTGACATTGGCTTGACAGCCCCAGCGGCCTCCAGCCCTGCCACCGCTGCTGCTCCGGCCCATGGGGAAAGTCAGCCGGGCCTCCCCAGCTTTAAAAAGAAAAAAAGATATCCTCGTATGATGACCTAAGAGTCGAGACCAGTGATTCAAAAACAGAAGGCTGGTCCAAAAATTTCAAACTGCTACAGTCTCAGCTGCAGGTCAAGAAGGAAGCTTTAACCCAAGCAAAGAGCCAGAGGACAAAACAAAGTATAATCTTTGCTCCAGTGATTGATCTGAAACGAGGGAGCTCTTCAGATGACCAGCAGATTGTAGGTACCCCACCTCATGTAGCAGTGGGCTTAAAGGAGCCTGTGCCTAGTGGATTTTCTTCAGGCGAAGTTTTGATTCCATTAGATGTGGTCTGTAAACATGATCCTATGTTTCCTAATGATTATGAGAAAGTAAAATGCCAAAGGGAGGAATGCCAAAGACAGCAGGAGCTGGAAAGGCAAAAAGAGATTGAAGAAAAAGAAAAGAGGTGTAAAGACAGGCATGAAGCTAATGGGTTTTCAAGACTACCAGATATAGATTCTGAAGAAGATGGAGATTATAAGAGAGAAAGGAGGAAAAGAAGCATGGGAGGTACTGCCATTGCACCATCAACTTCTCCCGTGGAAAAAGACAAAGAATTACCCAGAGATTTTCCATTTGAAGGGGAGTCAAGACCTTGTTCACAGTCTTCCAAAGCTGCTATTCCTCCCCCTGTGTATGATGAACACGAGAGACCATGATCTCCAACAGGGCCCAGTAATTCCTTCCTTGCTAATATGGGTGGCACTGTAGCTCATAAAATCATGCAGAAGTACGATTTCCGAGAAGGCCAGGACTTCGGAAAACATGAGTAAGGACTGAGCACAGCATTGTCCATTGAAAAGACGAGTAAGCAAGGTGGCAAGATCATTGCTGGTGATGCTATAGAGAAAGATGCATCCAAGAAATCAGATTCAAGTCCATTAACCAAGATCCTTAAGTGTCCTACAAAAGTGGTTCTACTAAGGAACATGGTGGGTGCTAGAGAAATAGATGAAGATCTAGAAGATGAAACTAAGGAAGAGTGTGAAAAATATGGCAAAGTTGGAAAATGTGTATTTTGTGAAAGTTCTGGTGCTCCTGATGATGAAGCTGTACAAATATTTTTAGAGTCTGAAAGGGCTGAATCAACAATTAAAGCTGTTGTTGATCTGAATGGGAGGTATTTTGGTGAACGGGTAGTAAAAGCTTGTTTCTACAACTTGGATAAATTCAGAGTCTTGGATCTGGCAGAGAAAATCTGATTTTAAGAGAACTCAGAGCACAAATCAACTCTGGCAATCCTTAGTAAGCCTTTAAGCTAAAAGCAAAGAGCAAAGAAGGCAAGCCTGCTTGAACAGTAGGTACTTAGACTTTGGGGAAGGACTCCTAAAATTCATGTTGACTGACCCTTTTTTTATTTTGTGGTTTTTTTTTTGTTCACAAAGTATAAAATTCTTAAAAAAAAGCTCTATGCCTCTCTGATTGTTTTTTTGTGTTTCATTATACCATAGTAGTTTACATTCATTGATAGGCTCTTGTAATGATTCTTGAATGCATCAGTGATGTGATATTTCATGAACTCTGGAAAATCTCGAAGATATCAAAGGGCAGGGGGAGGAGGGGAATGATAACATGGGATCCTTCACTTCCTTAGTAATATGCTAGCTGTAAAAAAATAGTTATATAAGCCCCACAGTAATCATCTTGGCAGTCTCTGCCAGTGGTGAATATGTCTACTCTTTTTTGGAGCCAGTAAGACCTTTCAGCTAATTTTTGGAAAACCTCTTTACATTCAAAAGTAAAAGTGGAGAATCATGAATGTAAGAGAATGAGTTTGAATGAATCATCTCTCTTCAAGCTAAGACAAATAGGACTTGGGAAAGGTTTGGATTGTGTGTTGATACAAGAATCAGTAGACTAGCCTCTTGCCTTTAAAGATCTGAGCACATCTCTGTGCAGGTAGAGAAATACAAGTTAGAACAAACCC